TCAATGTTTGTTGGGTGGAGTGTTTGAACAGATTAAAATTAGATTTAGATTTGTGGATGTACAGTACTGGATATAAAATAAATAATACATCGTGATTTTTGTTGACACTATTTGAAAGTTTAAAGAGCTGTTACTGTTCAGTTTGTGGATAAAGATATATGAATTTTCGGCTACTGTTTGATGGAGTAGTCAAAAATGTATCATCATAATTTGTGGCTTGATCGATGAAGCCTAATAAGCCAAATTTTAGCAACAATTTACAAATACAATTTGTTATTTTTTCCATGACTTAAATGCAGGGAAGATATTGATTAGTTGTCAGACACGATTGGGATTAAAAAATAGAATGAAGATTGTTGAAAATGTTTTTGCTATTTCATGCAAAAAGATATAATTTGATACGTAAAATGAAAAATTGATAGAATTGATTTGATTTGGTTTTATAGACAGATTCGATTGCGTGAGATTTTCTATTATTTTTTTCTTGGTGCCAATAAACTAAACTAGCTCAAATTTACATCATATGTTGTCACAATATTATTTTTAAACTACTTAATATTTATTAAAATCGGTTCGGCACGATCAAAGCTACAACAGTTTGGCTTGTTTTTCAGCGTCTATGAAAAATTGATAGTTTTCAAACTTAGCGGCTTTGATTTTTCATTTTGTAGTCAATAGCTTCAAACTACTTCTCAATCAATAACTACATTGGAGTATATTTTACGCCCATTTTAAAACCAGAATTCTTTAGCATAGAATACAGAACAGCGTAAGTTAATTAGTTTAAGGATTTTTTTAAATAAAATAAAATTTCTGACTTTTTTTATTGTATGCGAATATTTTTTTAGCTAATTTGGTCCATTGTACTTCAAGAAATAACAGCTTGAAAAGAAGGTAGTTTAAAAAGAAACAATTTACTAAAATAATTCTGACTTCACGCAGAACAATCCAAGTTACAAATTACCTTGAATACTTCGTCAACCAGCAGTAAGAAATTAAAGAATATTTTTATGCACAAAATGAACAGTAACAGCTCTTTGAACTTCCATGGAGAGACAACAAAAAAATCATGTAACACACCAGTATGTCCAGTATTTCAAGAATAATTCTAGACATGAATCTCCATTGTGGTTCTGAAGGATTCCAAGAGGGATTGCCAAATATCACTATCATTAAGAGTATTCCAAGTGTGATTCTCAAACAGGCAAGAAATCCAAATAACTCCAAAGAAGATTTTAAATAATCCCGATCGAAATTCCATAGCATGCTTATAGAAGATGAAGAATATAACAATGAATTCCGATGAATTTCACGAAATAAATCTTAGTTGGAATTTTGGAAAATTCATAGACAAATTTTGGAAAATCCCAGCATTTAAATTTACGTAGAGCTCTAAAGAGGATACTAGCGAATTCCCAAAGTATTTCTGGAGAATCAGAAAGCAAATCAAGAAAATTACAGAAAATCAGAGAATCTCACTATGACATAGATTATAAATAATCTCAAGAAAGATTTCATATAATCCCAACAGAAATCTGAGATTATTTCAATAAAACGCAAACGTCGTATTAAGATGCTCCAATTGCGTGATTTGATCATATGAGTTTACTTTACTGGCTCAGTAGGAAAAACAGGGGATATAAGAGTAAACTTGTTTTATTCATACGTTGATTGAAGAATTGATAATCTTGGTTTCTAAGTAGGATAGAAATATTGAAATAACGTTCCCTATTAAGCAGCATGATTTCAATACTACCCACCCATTTGAAAAAAAAATATGCATGATGTAGCTGTAATAGTTTTTCAAAATTTTCTGGAAGAAGTCGAGAGGTGTCGTAAAAATCAAAAGTTTGAATAAACAGTCGAAAGACACTTCCAAAGGAGGCCCATTCAGTTACAACTTTCTAGGAAATCTGAAGAAAATGCCAGGGAATCCCTGAATTAAAAAAAAAATGTTTTAGTGGAGCTCAAAAGAAACTTCCATTGGCAGTTTATAAGGCGCCTGGAGAAGACTGAAACTGAAAGCAACCTCCTGAATTAGTTCGGAGCAAACTTTTAGTCGAAGCCGGAAGGATCTCACGAAAGGAGGTTATAAGACAAGCGATGTCGGAATGAATTCTGGAGAATGCCGGAAGCTTCCAGAGAAATTTGGCAAAAGAAAATCCAGGGAAAGCTAGAGAATCCAGAAGGACTTCAACTTTAAATTAGGAAGAAGTGAAGTTTTCGGCAAAAATAGGAGAAACTTCCGGGAGAGGTCGGAAAAAGCTTCTTGGAAAGTCTGAAGACAATTTTAGGAGAAGCCAGAATTCTTCATGGATTGTTCAACAGAAAGTAAAACATTATGATACGCCTATCTGGTCCCTGGATGTAAATATTTCCTAATTCCCGGGAATTCCTGTTTCCCGATTTTGGAGTACTAGAGAAGTGTTTAAATCAAATATATTGTTTTAGTCAAATCCAAATATCTCAAATGTATCACAATATAGCTTTGATATATTTTGAGAAATTAAAGTGTGTTTGGTGTAAATTTTTAATAATTTATGACATATCTCGATTACTTTTTCGAAGGGACGTATCAGCTTTTGAAAAGATTGCATTTGATCGTCGATTTGGCGTAACTGGTAGCTCGTCCACGCATACTAACACCACTATCAGGTAGGGTAAAGTTTCTCCCTTCGAAAAAGTAATCGAGATTTTGCGTTAACTTGCGCTTTGTTTTAGAAAATTCATTCAGAAAATCAGGTTTTTTTTTATTTTAAATTGATATATATATTTTCAGTACTATAAAAATAGTAGCATTGATGTGGAAGAAATTTGATTGATCAGTACCAATCAAGCAAAAATGATAAACGTATTCTTTAAAACGATTGTTCAAAATATAATACTAAAAATGCGAATTTCAGGAAAATGTTATAAAACTTCGTATTTCTCAGTTGTTTGAAGATACACAACTTTTAGGTCTTCGGAAACTTTTCATAAAATTTAACGTTATACAGCCTTGTTGAAGACAACAAAGATCTATAGTGCGAAATAAAAATCGTTTGTATCGGTGCGCCATATTTGCGGTCATAACTTGAACTATTTTTATCCACCAAATTGTAGTCCTAATTAATCCGAAAAACAATTGGATACAATCCCCGAGCGATATTATTGTTTCTAGCTAGATTTGATTCCTGGCCCATTGTGAAATGGGGTTGTACGAGCTTTTGACGTAGGATTACGCTACTAACTGAAAACTATTTTGGTAAAACATTATTTCTTGTAGCTTCCTATAAGATTGGTTAACTGCATGGTCTATTTAATCAAACTGCAGCACGTGGCGGGTGATTACTAGAATTTTTCATGCGGGTTTTGCTTAGCTTGGGAGCAATATTATCAAAAATAACTCTTTAGTGGTAAAATGAATATTGTCACCCTGAAACGGACGGTTTTGATTTGAAGCGCATGGTCGAAGATCAAGCTGAAAGCAATTCATGCTTTTTATATACTTAGACAGGGTAGCCTGAATATTAGATCAAACTCCACTCTGGATGATCGTAACGCTAGACAGCACTTTAGGGGTTATTCCGAGAGTCGAACTGATTCACTGTCACTATTTAGGTGACAAAATTTACGTCGTGCTGATGTGGCCCTCTGTGCAAATCAAATGGAGAGTTACGTCACGAATACGTGACTTTTTTCACCTCACTAGTGACAAGAGTCACTTAGACCCTCAGAATAACCCCCTTTCCCAAGTAACAATTTGGGTTTTATGAGGGTTCTGTAGAAAATGATTTAGACTTGTAGTGTTGATACTGGCAACACTTCAGTAGACACTTCAGGTGACGCTCCAATGACGACCGCAGTCAGCTGTCAAAACGACAGTACGGAAGGAGAAGCAGAAGAAAAAGAAGGGCAAAAACATAATGACTTGCATGATTATTAGTAGTTGAGGCTGCCAGAGATAAAGTCCTTTGTTGAAAGCTAGCTAAAACTTACATCTAAACTGAAGTGATTATTCCCTATTAAAATTGCATATAATACACGAATTAATTTCGCGTGTCATCATTCAGTACAGTTGGAATTGTGTTATTAATACCTATGCAAACCGAAATTTTCTAAAACTACATTACAAACAATTCAACGGGTTCACAATTCCTAACCTACGGAACATCAGCGGGAATATGTAGAATAATATAAAACCTCGATAAAACTTTCTAGGTTACTTGGGTTGTTTAGTTCTGCATCGTTACGGAACGAACGGAATGTGCCAACAGCACTTGACGAGGGATATTGTTTGTCTTCTTGTTGTCACAGCCGGCATTTCCTGTCAACTCAGATATTTCAGCAGCCATGTAGACTGGGGCACCGGCACCAACAGACTCAGCGTAGTTACCCTTCCTGAGCACACGATGGATGCGACCGACGGGGAACTGCCAAAACAAATCTGATAAGCAAATCCGTACCAAATCCGCGCCATAAGAAGTCTGATAACAAATCCGCGACAAATCCACGAAAAACGCAAAAATCGCGAAATCTGCGTTGTCGTAACAACCCTGGACTTCTCCTTTGGCTATTTTGTTGCAGCTTTGGAGTTTTTGAGCTAGGTGATCCCTGTGCCACGCAGTTTAATGCAAGACGCATTACATATTGTGGATGCTGGTTCACTGCAGTCATGCCAACAAGTGGTTGGTACATTATATTGAGGTCTCGTGATTAATTGATTTTTTGATTTACACGATGTTTTCGACGATTCCGAAGCGAAAATTCCGATCGATTGATGCAAATACATTGAAAATGTAGCATGAAATAGCTCAGTAATAATCGTTCAAAACCTGACCACTTCTCGTTAGATATTCATTTTTCGTACTCGGAAAGTGTGAACCCATATAGAAAACAGAGACGTAGCCTTACGTCAAAAACACAAAATGGCTCTTATTTTTCTTTATTTGCAGGTCACTTCTAGGTTAACCATAACTCACTTTTCAGTAACCTTGTTAAACTACTAAATAACTTTTTTTTTATCCGCCCCCTACGACATTGAAGTGAATCAAGTCATGTAACCCTAGCCACAATGTTCTCTACGAAGGCTCTTTATCTAGCATAATACGAAGGAATTAATTAATTCCTAGCATTGCACATATTATCAGTTTTTTAAGCGATGATTGAACCCTCTGAGCCGCAAGCCAAAAGAATATAACATTGATTTCCCTTGTCCGAACAAAACTGTTCTACCGGTTCGATCAACGGTTGAATCAATTCATATTTCCGACCCATTACTAACGGCACATGACACCAGCACTAAACAGCGCCGCCGGTTGCCTCCGAATGTAGCAACCGATCGATAACGAAGCCCGGCTTCCAAGGCACGCCACCATGCAGTATACCGACTGTTTTACTAATAATCCATTATATGTAGATAGATAGATACGCTAGCAACAAACAACACAGCACAGTCAAGTGCTCCTAATGTGGACGACCGTTCGACGATGGCCCTGTAATGTGAGAACCAACCAACCACCAGCCTATCTACTGCAACGTGTTCACGCTTGGCGACCGAAAATCGAATACCACGCTCGACTGGATATTCAGATTTGCACCATGCATTTTCCCTGCACGGTTGACCGGTTCCTTCCGTCCGTCGTTTGTACGGATAGGATGTAGGAACGTTCCGATGGATATGAGATTTTGTGGTTTGTTTGTAGATTGATTCTGATTTTCGCTGATGGAGTTTTTTTTATAAATGAAAATCTATACAGTAGTGTGATTCCTCATTTGAATAACCTTAAGGCGAGTTGCCAAATCTCAAATGTCACATTATAACCAACTCTGGGCATTAGATCAGAACGGTGCTTTTCGGACGAATAATTAAAACTCAGAAATCAAACGAATCGCCGACCCAGAAAATTATAATTAATCATTTGATTGTAGGAAGCCTAGCATCCTGTGCTCAGAGCAGCTGTTAATTGTTTTTTCCCAGCCTTTGAAGACAATAATTAGCCAAGTGAACCCGGAGAAAGTTTAATTAGCCGGGGCGGTTCGGTTTCGGGCGGCTGTCTATCATTTGATCAACACAGACATACCGGTTGCCGTATGGAAGGCAAGCCTACAGCTAGCAGATGAAATCCATATCGGTGACATTTTCAATATAATCATCTTTTGGAAAACGTGACATTTCGAGGAATATCCATCCGTTCCTATTCAAAACAATTCAAAGCATCCAGATATCCTTCATGCACGTGTCCAGAGCTAGCAAAAGAATCGTTCTCAATGTTTGAATTGAATCTATATCGACTGTCGGCTGCAGGAAGACGTCTGTACCTACGTTAGGCCGACGACGTTAGCAAATGGAAAATGCTTTCGGCGAAATCTGAATCCCGTGGCGTAAGAAGCTGTGAACGATGCACGTGTCATTTATTTTCTAGAATCCTTCAATGGCATAGGGTTTAATGCATTCCGGATTGAGCTCCCAACTGCAATAAAGCAGCATATACATTGTGAACATTAAATAGTTCGCAACTGTAGCAACACGTGAAAATTGCCCTGCATTGAAACAAAGTGATAAAGGCGCCTAGGTCAGACCTCTAGAAACACGTGAGAATCCGTTCGCAAGTGTAGCGCGTGTGATAAATGCGATAAGAATCGATGCCGACTTATTAAAATGCCATTTAAAACGTGGCTTGGATAGAAGTTGTGCGTCGTTTTTTTGTGTGCCTCTTGCACGATTCCGAGGCGGACTGAGCTGGGAGTCTAATTGCCGGCTATGCGGAGGCAAACGGGTCTAGCGATTGAATTATAATGACCCAATAATGTGTATCTGTACGTGTCGTGTGTACACTAGCATGGCAGCGGAACTTGAGATAGACCGAGACGGAGAGCATGAAAAAAAACAATCACAACAACAGCAACAAGCAGATCCCTGACCTGCCCCAATCAGTCGACTTAACGGTGGCGGCGGAGTTTTAAGCACTTGACTTGGAAGTTTTGGTCACGCTTCTCCTACAGTCAAAACTCGCGATATAACGATGAGATAAAGGGGTAATGGAGCGTTGTTCTACATAAAATGAAGTGTTGCCCTCCGTAGAATGGAGCGTTACTTTCTATTTGAGGGGTTTTCAAATCGTAGTCCGGTAGGCCTTTATTAGTGCTCCGTGATGGTCCTCTGAGCGTGATAAAATAGATCATAAGTTGTAACCAATAACACTAAATTCAAATCCTGTAGTAGATAGTTAAAAAGAATCAAATATCTATTTTAAAATGTATTTTAACGTCAATTTAGTTAGTCGTGATGAAGATCATTTAAAAGTCTAAGATGATGGAACTATGTAGTAAATAAAATACAATAGAATTCGTTTTCAACTAAATTTTGTTCTTGATTTACACTCTCAGTCGAGCGTTCGGCCTAGGAATGGGCGTTTTAAAAAAAAATCGATGTTGCCGAATCGATTCTAAAACTGAAATTAAAATCGATCCTCGAAAATATCGAAAGAAAAAAATAGATTCGAGGAAAATCATTTTTTTTAATTGAATTACGCTTTATAATCTACTATTAGGCTGTTATTTTAGTGTATGTTTGTGAGCATTAATTTGTATAAAGGCAGTTCACAAAAGTAATTGCACTCTATTTAAATATTGACAACGAATTTTTAAGAAATATTGTGAATATTCAGATTATTCAACCTCAACTCTATATCTGAGCTTTCAAAATCTTCTGCAGGTATTAAAACTACCCTTTTCAATGTTTTTTTTAATCAAGGAGTGCGTGGTTTTTTGCAGAAAAACCAGCTAGATGAATTAGAAAGAATGGGTCCAAAGAAAACGTAACATAAAAAGAAACAAATAAATAAAGCCCAAGATTGAAATGGTGTTTAGCAAAATTTGAGGACGATGAAATCAAAATCGCTTTAGTTTACTTCATGCAGCCAGCGGCGCTCTTCAAGGGAAACAGCCGTTCACAGCCGCATCGCATTGTTGTGTTTTCTCCACTACCTACACCGTCACCATCTTCCACACATCAAGATCATCGTCACCACTTGTGTCACTGTGTGCTAGCGTGCCGAGATAAGTTCTAGACCAACAATTGAAATAGGCGGAACAACCAAACGTAAACAATGGCTTTAAACGCAAATTCCTCGAGACTCAAAGCACATTCAAGCAATCTAAAACCATCATCTGATAGAGCAAAATTCCTTTATCGAATGACTTTGTTAGTTTACGTAGGAGTGTTTTGATTCTCGAGAATTTTGTGTTTAAAGCCATTGTTTACGTTTGTGTTTGTGTTTGTTTATCTTTGTTTTTTCGTCCATTTCTGGTACGTGAGTACCCGTATCCTTCTTCTGAGGCGATGAACACCTCTGGTGGTGATGGGTCAGCCACCAATATTATTGGTGGCTTACCCATCACCACCAGAGGTGTTCATCGCCTCAGAAGAAGGAAAATCCAGAAGAAAATACTTAAAGTACACCGGAGCGTATCCAAAGGTTAAACGATCTCCACAGCCACATTCTCCACCAGCTCCTACATTGCCCCTTGCTCCACCCGTTCCCCCGGTTGACTTCTTCCTACGCAAACAAAAGGCTTTGAATGTTCATCAGATTTCAAAGGATCTGATTGAACATTTTTCAGCCGTGACCTAGATTTTGAAAGTAAAACCAAATAAACTATGTGTTACCGTTAGCGATCGTGTTCAGGCAAACAAAGTTGTTGTATTTAAGCTTTTTTTGTTGGAATACCGAGTGTATATTCCAAGTAAAGAAGTTGAAATCGAGGGTGTTGTTACCGAAGCGAGTATAACTCGCGTTGATTTCCTGAAAGGCGGGATTTGTGTCTTCAAGAACCCTCACCTCCCGAAAATTAAAATACTAGACTGCATTCAGTGTCCCTCGTTGGAACGAAGAAAACTTACACGCTTTCGGACTCGTTTTGTGTGACCTTCGCCGGGTCAGTACTACCAGATTACGTCACGATAGGGATGTCCGATTACCTGTGCGCTTGTTTATACCAAAAGTAAGCGACTAGGGCACACTGCAACTTTCTGTGGTAACAAGCCACGTGATCAATGTGGGGAGAAACATACTGAGGGTTCTTGTCGTACCTCACCAAAATGTCCTTATTGTTTGGAAATTCCGCATGCTCTCACTGATTGTCCAAGATACAAACAGCAGGGAGAAAAACTTCAGCGGTCTTTGAAGGCTCGCGCGCAGCGTTCCTTCGCGGAAATCCTAAGATCAGTTACTCCATCTTCCCGAGTTCCCCCGTGTAGTAACCCCTTCGCCCTTCTCTCGGTTGATGACCAGGGCTCTGGCCCTAATGTTGGCGAGGGAAGTCATTTCGTTTTTAAAGCCCCACCTAGGAATCGATCCAAAATTATCAGGCAACAGCATCAGGGGGATTGAACCTCGAGTCATCTTGAAGAAACCAGAAAGTAGCGGTAATGTTCCGAAAGCCCCTCCACCGGGTTTCAAACCATTTGATGTTGATAGGGACTTTCCGCGGCTTCCAGTTCCACAGCCAGGAAAACGTGCAGCCATGTTCACGTTTTCTGAAATTGTAGATGGCATTCTCGAAATATTGAATGTGTCTGACTCCATGAGGTACATTTTTTTATGATTCTAATGTTGAATAACCTTTGAAGCAACTAGCTTCTAAATAACCAATGCTTTCGTCGATCATCAACGTTTAAAATTACTAGCGTTTTAGAGTGTGATAGTAATTTGTCTGTTCGTGAATCAATTTTAGTTTTTGTTCTCTCATCGTTGTGTTGTAAACAACCACCAGTCATCTCGAGAGAGATCAAGAGCACTTTCCTGTCACCTCACTGCATCTCCCATGGTCAATCGTCGAAAAACAGCCAGTAAACGGCGGTGGAGATAAATATATCAATCGCATCTTTGTGTACCTTTTTCTTGATCCCTTCCCTACCTTTTAATAGATTGTAGCCCGTATCCTCGAGTAAGCCGCGAGTATTCGGACACCTCTTGTACTAACTCTATTTTTAAGAAACATTGTAAAAAGTAAAATGAATTTTGGCT